TGTTGAAAGTAGTAATTTTAGTATTTTTACTAACAGAATTTTCATTGAAGGCCTTGTCATCAATGACGCATTCCAAGTAGCAGGGATGATTGAGAAGTTGCCTCCTTTGTGGAAGGACTTCAAAAACTACTTGAAACACAAATGCAAGGAGATGTCCCTTGAAGATCTCATTGTTCGGTTGAGAATCGAAGAGGACAACAAAGCTGTTGAAAAGAGAGGCCGTGGAAACTCAACAATAATGGGAGCAAACATTGTTAAGGATACTTCTCAAAATAAGAGAAAGAGGAAGCAGGCTTCTGGACCGTAAAGCAACCCAAGCAAGAAGCGGTTCAATAGAAATTGCTACAACTCTAGGAAAGCTGGACACAGATCTACGAAGTGTCGTGCTTCGAAGAAATACAAAAAGAAGGGTCAAGCAAACATTGTTGAAAAGCATGTTATGCTTTCTGAATGCAACCTGGTGGGAATTCCTAAGGAGTGGTGGATTGATTCTGGAGCCACTCACCATGTTTGTGCTGTTAGGGAAGCTTTTGCTACATATGCTCCTGTTGGACCCGAAGAGGCGCTTTCTATGGAAAATGCTGCAACGGCCAAGATTGACGAATGTGGGAAGATCTTTCTGAAAATGACTTATGGCAAGGTGGTGACCTTGAACAACGTCCTTCATGTTTCCGAGATTAGGAAGAATTGTCTCTGCTGGACTTCTTGTTAAGAATGGTTTTAAGTGTGTTTTTGTATCCGATAAGGTTGTAATAAGTAAGAATAAAATGTTTGTAGGAAAAGGTTACCTCATCGAGGGCCTTTTCAAGCTGAATGTAATGGTCGTTAATAATAATAATAAAATTTCAGCTTCGTCTTACTTACTCGAGTCAAATGAATTATGGCATATACGTTTGCGTTATGTCAATTGTAAAACCTTGCGGAAAATGATTAACTTGGAAGTATTGCCTAAGTTTGAATGTGACAAATCAAAATGTCAAATATGTGTGGAATCTAAGTATGTTAAACATCCTTATAAGTCAGTTGAAAGGAATTCAAATCCTTTAGACTTAATTCACACAGATATTCGCGACATGAAGTCAATACCATCTCGTGATGGAAAGAAGTATTTCATAACTTTTATTGACGATAGTACTCGATATTGCTATGTTTACTTACTTAATAGTAAAGATGAAGCAATAGACGCATTCAAGCAATACAAAAATGAAGTTGAAACGCAACTTAATAAGAAAATCAAAATGATAAGAAGTGATGAATCTCCTTTTGAACAAGTATGTTTAGAATATGGAATTATTCATCAAACAACGGCCCCTTACACGCCCAATCCAATAGTATTGCTGAAAGAAAGAATCATTCATTAAAGGAGATGATGAACGCATTGTTGATAAGTTCTGGGTTGCCACAGAACTTCTGGGGGGAAGCCGTTCTTACGGCTAACCGGATACTAAATCGAGTACCCCATAGCAAAACACAATCCATTCCATATGAAACATGGAAAGGAAGGAAGCTCAACTTGAATTATTTTAAAGAGTGAGGGTGTTTGGCAAAAGTGCAATTTCCTAATCCCAAAAGGGTAAAAATAGGACCGAAAACCGTTGATTGTGTTTTCATAGGATATGCGACTAATAGTAAAGCATATCTATTTCTGGTTCATAAATCAGAAAATCCCGACATTCATAATAATACGGTTATAGAACTAGATAATGCTGAGTTCTTTGAAAATATATATATCCGTATAAAAAGGAATGTGAGTCGATTGGCGAAGGATCTAAACGACCTCGAGAAGAAACAAAAGAAAGTACATTTAATCAGGAGGATCCAAGACGTAGTAAACTCAAAGAACGTCTACTTTATTTGGACCAGATTTTGTGACTTTCTTATTGGAAAGTGAGCCTCGAAAATTTAAAGAAGCTATGTCTTCTTCTGAATCATTGTTTTGGAAAGAGGCAGCCAATAGTGAAATAGAATCCATATTGCACAACCATACATGGGAATTGGTTGATCTTCCTCCTGGAAATAAACCTTTGGGTTGTAAATGGATTTTTAAGAGAAAAATGAAAGATGATGGCACTATTGATAAATTTAAGGCAAGACTTGTAGTCAAAGGGTATAGACAACGAGAAGGTCTTAACTACTTTGATACATACTCTCCAGTTACAAGAATTACGTCCATACGGATGTTAGTAGCCTTAGCTGCTGTGTATGGTCTTGAAATTCATCAAATGGACGTTAAGACGGCCTTCTTGAATGGAAATTTAGAGGAAGAAATCTACATGGAATAACCTGAAGGGTTTGTGGTTCCAGGTAAAGAAAAGAAGGTATGTAGACTTGTTAAGTCCCTTTACGGACTAAAACAAGCACCCAAACAATGGCATGCGAAATTTGACCAAACAATGATGTCAAATGGTTTTAAGATAAATGAATGTGATAAATGTGTGTACATTAAATATGTTCCATATCACATAGTCATTGTTTGTTTATATATGGACAATATGCTGATAATGAGTAATGACATTGCCAACATAAATGCTACTAAGCGTATGCTAACTAGCAAGCTCGATATAAAGGACTAGGGAGTTGCTGATTTAATTCTGGGGATTAAGATCCATAAGACTCCTCAAGGTCTGGCATTGTCACAATCTCATTATATTGAGACAGTACTTGAAAAATTCAAGCACTTAGGGTTTAAAGTTGCAAAGACACCAATTGATGTGAATCTTGCATTAGCAAAGAACAAAGGCCAAAGCATATCACAATTGGATTATGCTTGTGTGTTGGGATGCTTAATGTATCATGAATTGTACACGACCAGATATAGCTTGTGCTATAAGTAAATTGAGTCGATACACGAGGAATCCAGATCAATCTCATTCGATGGTAATGAAACGATTTTTGGGATATTTAGAACATACCCAGGGCTTTGCTTTGCACTACAATAAATATCCTGCGGTGATTGAGGGATACTGTGATGCAAATTGGATTACCGGTTCAGTTGATCGAAGTCCACAAGTGGATATGTATTCACTATTGGTGGAGGAGCGGTATCTTGGAAGTCGTCCAAACAAACTTGTATTTCCCGCTCTACAATGGAGGCTGAATTCATAGCCTTAGATAAAGCCGGTGAAAAAGCTGAATGGCTCCGTAATTTCTTGGAAGACATTCCATTTTGGCCCAAACCGTTGGCACCAATATGCATACATTGTGATAGTCAAGAGGTAATTGGAAGGGCTGGGAGCGTTATGTATAACAGTAAATCTCGTCATATACGACGAAGACATAAAACTGTTAGGCAATTACTCTCTAGAGGAATTATCACGATTGACTATGTAAAGTTAAGTGATAATGTGTCGGATCCACTTACAAAAGGCCTAACTAGAGAGGTAGTTGAAAAATCATCAAGGGGAATGGAACTATGACCGAGAACAAGTCATTGTGGCGGTAACTCTACCTAGAAGACTGGAGATCCCAAGATCTTGGTTCAAGTAGATCAAACAAAGTCATTAATGATGGTTCAACATTGTCAACTAAATTTTGGTCCATTCTCGTGATGAGACAATGTTCAGTACCAAGGATAAAGCATTAAGGCTTTTTAATAATTTCTAAATTTGATATAGGGTATATCAAATAGTGCATCTACGGGATGACATATTTAGGAATCACCTATGTAAGTGTGAAGTGTTAGCCGCTTCAAGGAGAATTTTGTAAGGCCAGTTCTCTACGCACTTATGAAACCAGGCGGTGTTCATGGCTGGAACGAACACAACAATGAGAACCAAAGACGGTTAAGGGTTGGTTGTGTTACTTATGGTTGTCTAGGTATACACCAAAGTTCGACGGTTCAAAGATATCAAATCTACCGATTGACCGAGTATATCCGACATAAGTTCACTACGGAAAGTTCAAAGGGAAACCTACTTATCCAGATGCAATTAATCCTAGCTTACGAATCACAAAGTTTTTCATGCATATTTCCGTGATATAGCCATTCCCCATTCATGTGGGGATTGTTGGGTTTTTTAAGCGTTAAAATAGGCTTAAAAGAGGGTGAATGGAAAATGGAGGTAAAATGAATTATTTGAGTTTCATTTGAGATTCCTTCCTTGACAAAGGGGCATTGTCCCATATTGGAAGAGGAAGAGGTTTTTGATGGGTATATAAGCAATTGTTCTTCTTCTAGCTCTTAAAGAGTTGAGAAGAAGGCAAGCTTCGCGTCGTCGTCGCCGTCGTCGTCGTCGCTCGCTCGGTTCGGCTTTGGCTTCGCCTTCGGCTTCAGATTTTTGGATTCGAATTCGGATTTGGATTCGGATTTGGTCAAATGATCGATTGATTGATTAATTTTTTGGACCAAATTTATTTGTTAATCATAAATATTAACAGAAATGTTATTAAATATCCGTTTTAATAATATTAAATCCAACAGAATATTAAACGTTTTTCCGTTATCCGTTTTCTGTTTTTCAGTAGTGTAATTGAAAATTAACCTCCTTCTTGAATACCCGATTTATTGTTGTTTAAATAGCCATTTATGTTATGGCATTTATGCTATGGCCGTTTTGCATAAACAACCATTCTAAAGAGTTGCACCTATTCAGTTTTCAGCCCAACCTTGGCTATAAATACAAGTCCATTCTCTTAGATTTTCCGAGTTCTCCTCTTTTCTTCTGCATACTCTTAACATCAAGGAAGCAACAGTAGGTGTGATTTGCTAGCGAAGTTTGTGTTCGCTGAAACATTGGAGTTTGAAGTACCACTACACCAGTGTGTAATTCGTTCTATCCTTGGAGGAAATAATCCATAACCTTGAGTACTAGGAGGGGATTAAATTCCTTAAGGAAACACTGTAAATTCAGTGGGCTCGGATTAACTTTTGTTTCGTTTATATTTTCTGTTTATATATTATTTTATCTTTTCCAGAATAAGTTTACAAATAAAGTTTACTAACAACAGCTACACTGTCTTGTCATCCAAAAATACTTTGGCTCTCTATTGGTAAAATAATATGTACTGTAGTACAAAGCAAAACGCTGTTTTAATTCTCTCTCTCTACAATGTAAAATTCTGTCAAATCAAACTATAGAAACGCTTACAAAAACTGAAACGGAAAAAAAAGATTTTTAAAAAGTAAAAGAAATTCTCTATTCCAAGCACTTTTTGACAGATGGAGATTGAGGGTAGCACATGTTGGATGCTTCACCTTTGTCTCCTTCAACTAAATGCACAACTATTTTGAACTAGTAATAACTAAACTTTTTTTTTGTTTTCCACTCGATGTCAATGGAGTCCCGACTAATTCTGATTCGTGCTACAGAAAGTCGGTTGAAACTTAACTTTTTTACTTTCAAACTCATAGCATAGCATGCTATATCTCATATATCATTCCGACTTTTAACATGCGTTTATGAGGTATGTCAAGAACTTTGTTACTTTGTCTCAAGTTCCTCTTGAGTAAATTGAAAGCATAATCAATCACCACTCTCTTTGCTATATTAGACCCTTTGCCTGCAATCACATCTTGTTCCCCTACCAAATGCACCACCCCAACACTATATGCTCTCTCCAGCACTTCTATATCTCTCTCCATTAATAACGTAGCATCCTCAGCTTGTTTGTCACAATCAATGTTGGAACCATCATTCTCCAATTCTATGCTCTCATCTGTTGATACTCTGTTAGCATTTGCTGCAATCAAAATTTTGCAATCGTCTTGTATAAATTGCTTCAGCCTCTCTACTAATAATCTTTCGAAGGGCTCTGCCTCGTTGCGTACATCATTGTATCCATAACGTACCACACAGCGAAAAACATAGAGATCATATGGCTTTACTCTACGGAAGAGGAACCTTTCTTCTACTGGCACTTTGCTTATGGGAAGTGATTTGACAGAAGCAAAAACAAGGACAGAATGTAACGCGGGAACGTTCTCCACATAATGTTTGAATATTGGTGGGATTCCATGAACAAGCTCAGAGTAGAAAATTGCAAGTCCTGGTAGCCGGTGGTAATTTGTTTCATCCACTGTTTCTTGAACTTTTTCAGGAGAGATCTTGTGTTCTAGCTCGAAGTGGTATTTCTTTCGGTATACATAATTCCATACGTACATGATAAACATTAGGACCATAGCAAAAGCCAGGGGAAGGTAACCTCCCTGATCAAACTTGTAAAGGACCGAGCTTAGATAGACGAGCTCAATCGTGCCAAATACCAGAATATAGACGATTACAAAAATAATGTGAGTTTTCCAAATCATGATCATAACTAGTACGAGGAAACATGATGTTAGTAACATCACAAACACCACCGCTATTCCTGTAAACAAATGGTTTGTCACGTGTTAGACATCAATGCATAGAACTTAAACTCTACAAATAGTTATAGATCAGCTTCATATATGAAAAGAGAGGGAATTCCAGGAAATGGGCGTTACCATAAGCGTTGCTTAGCTTTTCAGTAGTTCTGAATGCAAGAGTGACAACAACACAAGCCAACATGAGAAGGGTATTGATTTCAGGAATGTAGATTTGTCCATGATACTTTTTTGATGTATGCACAATTTTAACACGGGGAAAGCATCCTAGTGCCAGGGATTGCTGGATTATAGCGAAAGTCCCAGAAATCAAGGCTTGACTTGCAATGATGGCCGCTAATACTGCCACCCCAAATACTGGCCAATATAAACTATCTGCACTTGTAAAGAAAGAGCATAAGATGTTCATTTTTTAAATACCGTCAATGCATAAAACTTAAACTCAGGTACACTGTTATGCTTATTGTTCACTTACGAGGTAAGTTCTTGTAGAATGTATCAGTTACATCATCACTGTGCTTCCTCAAATAGGCAGTCTGACCGAGATATGCTAATATGAGCGCTGGGTATGTGACGCAGCACATACTTATCTGTACAGATCGAACACTAAAATGACCAACATCTGCAAATAGTGCTTCACCTCCTGCAATTCATAGTAATTTAAAAGTTAAAAAAATACCTTTTCTTTTCCCTTTCTCTTCTCAGTACATGTATAAAGGTTAATTGAGGGAAGGAAATGAATACCTGTTATGCACATAACTACACCACCAAGAGAAATCCAAGCATCCTTTTTGTTTCTCTTGAAGTAATCTATGATGTATTTAGGATTAAGAGCTCTGATAACAGTTGGATCGTACTTCACGAAGTTGTAAATGCCAATACCAGCAATGGAATAGAACCATAGACAAAGTATAGGTGCAAAAGTGTAGCCAACTTTTTCAGTTCCAAATCTCTGAAGAAAGAACAACAGTATCAAGATGGCTACTGCAAGCCAAACAATCCTTCCTGCATTTGATGACAACTCTGCATTATACATATGACTTGCATTTTTTCTTTAAAACATCGAATAAAAATATTGTGGAGTCAATTCATAAATCATAAAATGAAAATAAGATGCAAAAGTTACCTTCAGTCATGACTGAGGGAGCAGCTGCTTTCACGCCTCCAATAGCAGACAAAACTGAGGAAATCAATTCTGATTAGTATCATATACACCTATATGCAACACAATATATAGGTCTAGCTAGAGAAGAAGGTTGGATGGCAATGGGGCGGTGCGGGTGCGGGGTGGGGCAGGGCGGTGTGGTTTAATTTATTTTTTTAAATACTCTTGCGGGTTGCGGGGCGGTTGCGGGTCTTCACCCTCAAACATAGATTTATTAACTGTTAATGTATTCTCTCGGACACATATGATCACTACAATTGACATAAAGAAAGCACAGATGATAAAGATATGGAGTAAGCTTCTTCATAATATGAGACAGCAAAAGAAAGCAACAAACTACCCGTATATTATAGTTTTTTCCTTCTTTATCTTTTCAAATTGCTTTTCTCGTTCTCAAAATAATTACAGTATATTAGACAAACAGAAATGTCTAGCATGAAAATTCAACAACTATCCTTCTTCTTGTAATTTAATTCTACTACACAGTATTAAATATGTAATAAACATTTTCTTTTTGACTTCGACACCACCCATGAAATAAAACAATTATTTTGTTTATAATGTGACGGCAGTGGCTCACTATTGATTAAGCAAGCTTTTTCAGTCAGAACAACTCTAATTATTAAATTAAACCATCTAGGTTAGACATAAAAAATTCCAGCCAAAAAAAAAAAAAGAATCTAAGCGGGGCGGAGGGACGCGAGTGTGAGTGCGGGCGGAGCTTGGAAACGTGCCTGAAACGCAGGGAGTGAGGACGCCATCCCCAATAACCATGGAAGTACCAAACATTGTGGCAAATAATAGAAAGAACTTTGCAAAATTGCTGCTTTCTAATATCGACTTAAGCTTTGAAGCTCGACGAGTGCGTCTATCTGGTATATCAAGTTTAAAGGTCGACACATCTTTGTCTTCTGCCTGTGTACTTGGAATTAATCCTACCTTAGAATATCGACATATCAATGAATATAACGCAAAAGTACCTCCTGCAATCAAAAACAAATTAAAACATTGGAAAAGAAAAAACAAATTAATCATGAAAATTTGTACGTAGTAAAAGAAGAGGAGAAATTAAGTTACCATCTCCGTTATCATTCGCTTGGAGAACAATGAAGACATATTTGACGACAGGAATCAAGGTGATTGTATAAAAAATGAGAGACAAAGCACCAAGTATATCTTCTTCGTATTTTACACCATTAGGAAATATGGTCGAAAACACGTATAATGGTGACGTTCCAATATCACCATATACCACCCCTATACTCTGAAATGCCAGTTTCAGTATCACTGACCATTCCAATGCCTGATCAACCACCAAAACAAAAATCTAAGTTATATATATATCGTGTAACATCAAAACTACATAAAGTTCTCATAATTTGTCTGTGTTATGACCTTTTTGGCGTCGGGCACCCTGCTAGATTCCAAGTCTAAGGAGTCATATCGTTTCAACTTTTCGCCAGAAAGTTTCTTTCCTTTGAGCTGTTGCTGAAGAACATCTTGGTTTTGCTCATCGCCTGACATATTTTTAGTCTATAGAAGATCGGTTCTAATTTTAATTTTCCCTTTTTAGCTAAGGAGAAAATTTTATGATCAAACCAAGTAATCAAAAATGGGGAATTTCCCCAACACTTTATTCACGAAGGAACAGATTGATTAAGAAGAAGAAGAAGAAGAGGAGGAAGACAATAAGACAAGGTTAGCTAGGGAGGTAGGCTAGAGTACTAGCTCATAATTCACTCACTTTCACTAACTGTTTCCCAACACTACAATTTTTATTTCAAACGTCACAGAAATGATGGATTTAAGGCTTCTAATTGTATGGAAGAAAACCATGTTCCTTTTCTCGTCTCACACGTAAATGGTTCTTCAGCTATTAGCAACAAACATGCCAACAAACTGCCGTATCTCACGCTTCTATATATCTTGATGGTCCATTTAATTAAAATTAGAAAAAATTTATTTCTATTATTGGAAATTATATAATAACTGAATTCTTCTTTTTGCATTTAGTTATAAACAAATGTAGTTTTATGTTGAAATACTTACATAATGGGTGTATAGATGGGGCGTGAACTATGATTTAATAGAAGTCTGTATTGTGTCCGCAATTCATTTCTATAATCAATTGCGCTGGAAGTGTTCAGCCTACATATCTATATCTATATTAAAGGAATAAAATTACCATATATAATTAGCATTATGGTTAAGCCAAGTGGCAAGCTAATAAATGCCAATGGTAACCTTATTCTAAATTTGATTATGTTAGTCAAATATATATATACATATATATATATATATATATATATATATAT